GAAGGAAGGAAGGAAGGAAGGAAGGAAGGAAGGAAGGAAGGAAGGAAGCATGCGTTGGTGGATTGGTTGTCATTCAGGAAAATAATAATAATTTTTGTGTTAAAATATTTCCTAAACAGACTAATGAGTTCCCATTTACAATAATGCATAATGGAGAGTGGATGTTTTAGCGTTTCCTTCTATCTTCCTCCTCAGACAGTGAAGACCTTTTGTTCTGAGCAGCCACTGAGAGCGTGCTTCATTTGTTGCACTGTCTCACCCCACGGAGAGTGGATCTACTGTGTGGGGGAGGACTGTGTGCTGTACTGCTTCAACTACACATCAGGGAGGCTGGAGAAAACGCTGACTGTAAGCCCCGCAGCTAATACTCCACTATTATGTTTCAGACAAGCCATCAGTGTTTCCTAACTACATATTTTGCTGTCTCATTGTTTGGTTTAAACATTCCAGGCAGGGGAATGAAAATATCTACTAATATTCATTCCGCTGAACCCACAGGTCCATGAGAAAGATGTAATTGGCATCGCTCACCACCCACATGAGAACCTGATTGCCACCTACAGCGAGGATGGGCTGTTAATGCTGTGGAAATCCTAAAGAGTCCCTGCATCAGACTGAGGAGGAGCTAGGGAGTCCACTGCAGAGCTCAAAAGCATTAAGATAAAGCTTAAAGGGATGAATCTGAATTTTTACATGAAAACTTCTATCAAACTTTTATACAGCTTGTATCTTTTCTGTAGCGGAGCATTTTCATTCATCTTAAATCATTAATGGGTAAAATCAGATTAGGCGGTGCCAGTGGATGATGCTAAGAGAGACTAAAACCAAAGTGGACTTTTTGTAAAAATTCCAAAACTGCTGTCACTGTTAAACAACAAAAAACTATTGTACTGGATTGTTATTTATCAAAACAGAAGGTGGTGCACCCCCAATGCCTTTGAGGGAAACATGAAAATATAACTTGTAATGTAAGGAGCAGACTGAGAGAAAAAAAATTATGGTTCACCACCTTCTACCTTTACTGGGTAAAACAAACCAAGAAAAAGTTATCTACTGCGGGTGAGATGCTAAACGCTCTTTTTTATTAGAGCCTCACAAAACCTGAACCTTTATGAGTTATATGGTGCCTGATTGACAGATTTTATTTTCTTAGAAGGCCTTCACCAGCAGTTCAGCTATTTTTTTTAGTGTACGAAAGGGACTTTTACATTTTTATAATCAAGAGATTCAGGATACAGCTAAAGATGAGAGAACCATCCAAATATTTCTTATTTGTCTGAATGTGTAATTTTTATTTTTTACCTGATTCACTTTCCATCAGAATGCTGTATGAACTTTGCTGTATGAGGTTTGGCGGAGCTCTCCATGGTGCTCCTTGTTAGTCCAACTGAACCAGAGCTATTTGAATCCAACTCTCTCATCTCTTCTTGTCTCTAACAGACATGAAAATGCACGATGGTGAACTGTTGTAAAAATGATTTACAGTAGAAACTGCCTAATGTTTGGGCATTAAAAATATCAGGTATTTGATGCTTTACTGTCTTTTTTTGTAAATAAACTTTTTCTTTTCTTTATAATGCTCTGTGATTTATCTGCATGCTACCTCAGTTGACTGCCTTGCTGTGGTTCTGCAATAATTCAGAAATATGCATGCTTCCTGTCTGTATTAGCTGCATTTTTTTGTAGTGGTGTTCCTGTGCATACTTTTAGAAGGTCCCTAAAGCTAACACTGTCTTCTACTTGCATCTAATAACTGTTATTTGTCACTGTTGGGTGAAGTCACTGCTCTCTTTTTGGTATGTTTACTGCATTGTGGATATCACTTTGTCTGCCATAGGAGGGATGAATCCAAATAAATTCATAATTGAAAAAGGGGTGCATTTAAAGAGCTTTTTGTAAACTCATTTTAGGGTCAGATCTGTATAATCCACTCTTTTAAAGGGTAGAATTTGGGTAAAACACAAATCCTCAGAGGGAGAGTCATTCAGAGTTGTATGGTATAACTGCTGTTTTAAAAAAAATATTTCTCCAAGTGTGAACAAGACATTTATCTATTGAGGACAATTTCAAGTTTCACATTTAAAATCTTTTAATTAGAAATACAATTGTACATGTTAAATTGAATTATTAAAGAGGAACTGTAAATTGTATGTATTAATCCATTATCACAGAGTTTTCTTTATTTTCATGACTGAAAAATGTAGATTCACACTGAACGCATCAAAACTATGAATTAACAAGTGGAATTATATACTTAAAAAAGTGTGAAACAACTGATAATATGTCTTAAATTCCAGGTTCTTCAAAGTAGCCACCTTTTGCTTTGATTACTGCTTTGCACACTCTTGGTATTCTCTTGATGAGCTTCAAGAGGTAGTCACAAGGAATGGATTTCACTTTACAGATGTCCACTGTCAGGTTTAATATGTGGGATTTCTTGCCTTATAAATGGGGTTGGGATCATCAGTTGTGTTGTGCAGAAGTCAGGTGGATAAACAGCTGGTAGTCCTACTGAATGTTAGATTTTGTATTATGACAAGAAAAAAGCAGCTAAGGAAAGAAAAACGAGTGGCCATCATTACTTGCTAATTAAAAACCATCAAGCTCTACAAAGAATCTGGCTGATATGAGGACCGGCCCAGGAAAGGAAGACCAAGAGTCACCTCTGCTGTGAAGGATAAGTTCATCCGAGTCACCAGCCTCAGAAATGGCAGGTTAACAGCAGCTCAGATTAGAGACCAGGTCAATGCCACACAGAGTTCTAGCAGCAGACACATCTCTAGAATAACTGTTAAGAGGAGACTGTGTGAATCAGGCCTTCATGGTAAAATAGCTGCTAGGAAACCACTGCTAAGGACAGCCAACAAGCAGAAGAGACTTGCTTGGGCTAAAGAACTCCAGGAGTGGACATTAGACCAGTGGAAATCTGTGCTTCGGTCTGATGAGTCCAAATTTCAGATCTTTGGATCCAACAATTGTGTCTTTGTGCGATGCAGAAAAGGTAAACAGATCGACTCTACATGTCTGGTTCCCACTGTGAAGCATGGAGGAGGAGGTGTGATGGTGTGAGGGGGATTTATTCAAAATTGAAGCCATACTGAACCAGCATGGCTACCACAGCATCTTGCTATTCCATCCGGTTTGCATTAAGTTGGACCATCATTTATTTTTCAAGAGGGCAATGACCCCAAGCACACCTCCAGACTTTGTAAGGGCTATTTGACCAAGAAGGAGAGTGATAGGGTGCTTCGCCAGATGACCTGGCCTCCACAATCACTGGACCTGAACCCAATCGAGATGGTTTGGGGTGAGCTGGACCGCAGAGTGAAGGCAAAAGGGCCAACAAGCACTAAGCACCTCTGGGAACTCCTTCAAGATTGTTAGAAGACCTTTTCAGGTGACTACGTCTGGAAGCTCATCAAGAGAATACCAAGAGTGTGTGAAGCAGTAATCAAAGCAAAAAGTGTCTACTTGAAGAACCTAGAATATAAGACATATTTTCAGTTGTTTCACACTTTTTTGTTAAGTATATAATTCAGTTTTGATGCCTTCAGTGCGAGTCTTCAATTTTCATAGTCATGAAAATAAAGGAAACTCTTTGAATGAGGTTTGTTGGAACTTTTGGTCTTTAATGTATTTTCAAATCTAAACGGAAATTTAATAACCACAATTTTTTTAAATCTGATGTAACTTTCCTAATCAGTTATTCCATTATTGTTTTCACTTTGTTCACAAAACATGCAATCAGAAAACGCTTTTTAAATTGGATTACTAATTGTATGATTTAAATGTTAAATCTGGTTGTTCTTTTTCAATGACTCTCCTGGTCCTCCATATTTACCAGTGTGAAAAAGGTACAGAAAAAAAATTAAGAGGTTAATTCTTCAAAACCACAAATGCTCTGCCAAACCTTTCAAACTGTAGCAAAAAGTTAAGATTCAATAAAATTATTTTGACTGTTGAACAGTTGTTTTAAATCTTTGATGACACAGTGTAACCATAATAAATGTACTTAGAAACACTTTGAGAACCCCCACTAGTCTGTGCCAAGTTGGGATTTTTCCTCAGCACAACAGTGATTTAAAAAAAAAATCTGATATCTCATATGACTTAAGACCCCAAAATGCTATTTATTAACAAAACATGATCACATTCTTGGTCCGAACATCAATGGAGTTAAAAGAACACTCTAGCTAACTTACTTCAGAATCATTCATCACACCTTGAATACTTTCAAATAGAACCTGCTTTGAGGAGATGATCTCCTGAATGCGTCCTTGTGGAAGCAGTTCTGTTAACCAACGTCAGGAGTCGACCACCGCGTCATCCAGCTACTTCAAGTTGATTTATAAGGCGTTGAAAAAGACGACACTTTAATGAGGTACAAGACTTGCCCCATTTAAATCCCTCTGGAACCTTGCAGATCCCATCTGGTTTTTACATGACAATGATCAACTTCGGTACCAATACAAACACACCAAAATATTCCTCTTTGTACTTCGATTAGTTGTCTGAATTCCTAATTTATGTGCATCTTTTTCTGCCGACTTGTTGACCACGTCTTTACATAAGGAATCCACACCTTGGTTAATCTTCATTTGACAATGTAGCTACAACAGGCACTTTATACCCTGGGGTTACAACCAATAACGTTCGCAAATCACATGATTGGAGGGTTTTAAACATCTGTAAATTGCTTTCTTTTGTAACAATCACGCACAGAAAACACTCAGTTAAACATCTGATATCAAACCCAAGACAGAACTGAAGCTAAGAATGAGTGAAATACTAAACTTAAATATCAGCTTGAAATATCTACAATTTAGTGGCTTGAACCTTTGAAAGTACCGCCCCCTTTGTTCAAACTCACATCTTCCAGTCACATTTTAAGATTCATTAAAACTGTCTCATAATAGCCCTTTAAAGGGTAAGTCAGCATCAAAAATTCAAATCAAGTTTCAGCACAGTTCTCGATCTGAAAGCTTCTTAAAACAACCAACAGTCATTAACAAATTGTTTACAACCAGCAAGTAACACCACTTAAAATCAGGTTATCTTTAAAGGAATATTGGCATCAGTTTTAGTGTAAATGCTTTAAATGTGTCTAAAGACACTGGGATAACAACCCTCATGTTTAACCACAGTGCTTTAGAACAACAAAAAAGATTGAAATATGTGCCTCGTTTACACTAGCCTTCTGAAACTGATCCGTGCCGAGGTCAGATGGAGCTTGGATCAGTTAACCGGGCCGAGCTCGGTTCTTACGACCATTTATACATCACCCTAGCATAGTTCCTTGCCTTTTAGCTGTGGTCCATGATACTACAGATCTCAAGGCGGGAATTATGCAAACAAAAATGGCGACGCCCATAACATTAAGGAACTTATGTGCCTGGATAGCATCCTCCGCCCCAAATTTCAATGAGAGCAGTTTCAAAAAGGCTAGTGTAAATGGAGCTATGGTCACAAGAAGAATGTGGAACTTAAGGTAAAGTCCAAAAAACACAATCCGCTGACAAATAGAGAGTCCAGACATTTAAAATTGTGCTAGGACGGAAATTAAAAGTAAAATAAGTTGACGGAATGAAAAATGTGCACAAAAGTCCAAAAAGGTGCATTGCATCAGAGATGGGGATTTTGGTCTCAAGATGGGACTTAAGACGTGTGGCACTGAACGCCGCCGGTGCTGGAGTAGTCATCCTCGTCCATGTAGTAGTACTGATGCCTGTGTCTTCGCCTGCTTTCCAAGTCACAGTCCTCCAGGTCGGCATAGATGTAGAGGTCTTCGTCCATGCTGTCCATCTCCTCTGTGTCCACCTTTCTAGGGAGGTAGTGCTCCAGCTCCTTCAGCTTGTGCTTGGGGAGGAAATTGGCATGCGGGAACACCACCTAGTGGATATAGGCAGGAAGTAGTTAAATTTGGAGCTCTGCTTCCCATAAGTATTCATATCAATTCAGCTTTTTACATTTTGTCACATCACCCATCATTTTTAGCATTGAATCAGCAAAGGATGTATAGAAACACATCTCTTCCTTCATCATGCCCATCTACATTAAGATCCAAAATTATGAGATTAAAGTCAGAATTATGTGATTAAAGTCAGAATTCTGCAAAAAAAGTCAGAATTCTGAGAAAAAAGTCCGAATTGTGAGATTAAAGTCAGAATTCTGAGAAAAAAAGTCAGAATTCTGACTTTTTCCTATGTTAAACTGAAAAAAAATTTAATAATCAGTTAACAGTTTTTTTTTTCAGTGGCCCTAATCCTCTTCCGTAAGAAACATTTTCCATATTTGAATCTTTAAAATATTGGGGAAAGGGTGCATCTTGTTTTCTTCTGCATCAAATATACTCTCTTCTTCTGTCAGATTAAATTCAAATAAATACACTAATGCTTGTAGATATTTCCCCAGATGAATCCTTTTCATTTACTTCAATGCTATTTTTATCTATAATATAAAAGGTGAAATGGAGATACTTTTAACTACTGTAAATGTACTTTAGTGTTCAACGTCTTAGTATTATATTTCTTCACAAGTTTTGCCGCTCATAGTTTACAAGTGATGCTAAAGTTAAGTAAGGCTAGAATGACCTAATCTTTAAAAGCAACAACTATAGAATAAGGCAGGTGGCAATTCTTGGAGAGATTCAGAAATTGTGACCCAGTTCTGCAGAGCCAACAAACATTTATGTTCCTAGAAGGATGAACATTTGAAACTTTGTACAAAGACTCAGAGCAAGAAGATAAGCAACTAAAATGTCCATATATAGCAAAGTGAAACATTTATGGAAAGAGAACTTATTATTAATTCTTTATCTCGCCTGAGGATCTAA